TTTTGACAATTTTATTTTTAAAACTGTTTCAAATATGATTATTCTGTTTTTAGGTAGCCTGGACATTAATGCAATAAATGAGAAAAGAGCGCTGCTGGCAGCCCGTTTGCATGAAATGGATGCCCAAAGTACCTCACCAGACCCTAATCGTCGTCGAGCTCTCAAAGCAAAAATATCAAGCTTGAGCGATCAACTCAACGAGGCTTTCCTGCAGAATCCTCGGGTCAGATTTACTTACTTTTGAGAATATCGTCAGGCTAGTTAGTTTAATCTGTTAATTTTATTTTCAATAGATTTTTGAAAGTATCGTCGTCTAAGATAAAACAGGATATGGAAAGAAGAGTTTTCTTTGATCACTTATTTCTCGGCCGATTGGTGGTTTCACCTACGATCTGTGTTATTTCAGAAGGTTGTAGTCTACAGCACTATTTGTTTTCTTTTATACTTTAACTTAGACCCAAATACGAGGTCAGCGTTGTGATTTTTGGCACAAGCTTCAAGCACTTTTATGCATTCACATGTATTTTGCAATTAAATGGATCGATAACATGCTGTTCTGCCATAAATCTTGCTTGCCCGTCTAGCTTATGGTCAGCCGAAAATCAATTCAAATCTTTTGTTTGCTGTGTGGAGGTTTATGGTCGATTTGTATGCCACTCGTCTAGATATTTATTGAAAACCTGACGCGAGCATGCATCTTTGCTCCGGTACTCATGTCTCATCGGTAATTTTGCCTCTCACCTCGTCAAATGTTTCTCTTGTATTTTCTTATGTTCTTATAGTACTACTCTTTTCTCCTTCGTGCTCTCTTCCATCGCAACTTGTAGTAATATTATTGACCCTAAATCTATCTTCTCAGTCTTTTCTCGGAAAGTTTGCAAGATAAACATTATATAGACAACCGTGGGTAGTACACCGTTAAATAGTGTTGTATTAACGAAACAGCTTTCATGTTTTTCCGCGCTACTCTATGTTGAATAGTATTAATTTCGTCATACGCAAAATTATTTTCTTATGGTTTTAGCTAAATACAGCCCAAACACGTATCCGTATCGAACAGAATCAGCAACGGTCCTTAATCAGCCATGGAGACGTGCTTACAACGACGCTTAGTAGCTGCGGTTTGCCGGATTTTGACAGGCTTTTACGCACAGTAACTCTAAGCTTATTTTTTGAATGAATAATGTTAAATG